GGGAACAGTCTGCGGCGGCTCATTACAGAAAAAGTCAATCCGAGCTGTCGATATAAGAATTGAACGGCCTGGCGATGGCACTGTATGTCGACGAAACGTCATGCCATGAACTGATTGCCTGCGAGATCGCATCTCGCGTTCTCGCGGATGCCTTGTACGACAAGCAGTGCTCACCCCTTCGCGGATTAATCGAGACTTTTTTGGTGGGTGCCAAAAGACTTTTAGAGATCGTTATTTCCGGCGGCCCCTACCTGAAGAGAGAACACGTTCTACTGGTCTGTAACAATATTGGCCGCGCATAAACGGTCACCGACGTTTGTTTGTCACAGATCACTTAGCTCCATCACTCGCTTAATAGCGACGGCCCATTGTTGCTTCCATGCTTTGTTTCACGGGAACTGGAACATCTTATGCCCTCTATGGCTTGCGTTAGAACAACGTACCGCGGAACTGTGAACCATTTTCACAGCGAATACAGCACGGCTACCACGCCTAGAAGGGCTCTCGACGCAGCTGGACGAACCACGACCGGCACCGGACGAACCGGAAGCGTGAAGTCACGTGGTGCCTCGCTTCGGATGACGAAACTTCCGGCTCAAACGCCGGTCACCTATTGGGTGCTAGATATGACAGGAAGGACATTACAGGAGTTACGGAGGCCTTAGATCTGGTACATACGGGAGGGGAAAGTACAACAGAGTGGGTTGCATGGAAATGAACTGAATGAAAAGCTTAGGGAGGGACAAATGAAGGTTAATTACCGGAAGCAAGAAGACAAGGTGACAAAATGGCTCGAAAGGAGTTGAGGAGCCACGCAAACAGAGAAGGAATTAGTATTCTGGCAGGAGTTGGAATTAAAGGAACAAAAAGCTGGTGGGATAAGGAAGCCAAAGCAACCATAAATTGGAGACATCCAGGGAGCATAGACGAGCATAAAAGGGAAATGGAAGGACTTGCAGGAAAAGAAATATTTGCTTTGATAGATTGGAAAAGTAGAGGTGTGTGAATAATCAAAATATTTTGAAACAAATCCAATTGAATAGTAAAGGCTATGAATCGAATTGAATCGAATATTTTCGAATTTGAAAATTTTTTATTTGATGTGAATTGAACAAGGATACTCTATCAAAAACCAACTGCAAATTCTTTTTCAGCAAACGTAATTATAAAAAGATTAACTTTATTATGGCAATAAAAAAATCTCACACATGTGACTGATAAAAAGACAGATAAAGTAATACTAGTAAGGTATGAAGTTACAGAATGTTCTAATTATGAAATGCAAGTTGTTCTACGTGTTCTGGGAGTGGTCTGCTGGTCACAATTCCCCAGACACTGAAAGCAGGCGCTTGCTAGACACACTTGTGGTCGGTATGGCTAGGTACCTTCTTGCAAGTCGAGCCAACAGGGGGTATCTCACACCACCACTTGCAAGGATCCTCTTCCCAGGCCAGGACGTCTTTGTGCAAGTAGATTGCTACCTCTTCTTCAGCTTGTGTCATTGAATGCTGCTTTTGTTTAATGAGGCTGTCAAAGTTTTGCCACAGCACTGACCTGGACGGAACTTCAGGGGCCATTGACGCTGAGGACACTTTTGTATATCCGCGACTAAGCGTATAAAAACTCGCACAAAGTCCAACCCCTGACTGCCGAAGCCCGCTCGCATGGATCAAGTTTCGTTACGGAGAGAAGAACTCGTACGAAGTTCAACGGAATTCCAACCGCCAACCCCCAACGCCCGCTCGCACAGATCAAGTTTCGTTCACTGAGAGGCTACCAGACACACTCAGCCTACAGCGCAGAGTGCACATCGCTGTGCCGTTCCGTTACAGATTAAATAAACACATTTACTCAGTGTATCTGAAATTAGGCCTAACCACTTTCACGATTTCACTGTCCGAAAGTGGACCACAGACAACGGCTTGTTTGTTGACATCAATGCATCTGATAGGCGAATAATGTCTCAGGCTTGGCAATTCCTCGACCCAAGCTTCGTCAAGTGTGCACTACACTCGGTTTCAAGGTTGATCACTTCCGCAACTACTGTATTTACACGATTGTAAGTCGACCCCCCCACGTTGCACATCAGCAAAAAAAAAAACGAAATCTTTATATGCGCATTTTACTGTGAACACGTGACAACGGCAAAGTACTATCTATTTCGAAAGCCGAGCCTCCAACACGCGATCGATGCCTTTTAGCGTGCTTTAGCTGCGCATGCACGCGCGAGGTGCATGAAATGCCCAGGCGTTATCGAAATTGGGAAGTTCACGCTGGAGGCAGGGCAACTGAAGCTGCTCCCTGTCGTTCTCACTTCTTCTGCGACTAGACTACGAATCGTCCGCACTGGTGATGTCAGTCTCGTCATAATCACTGCCACGTTCTCAAAGCACGTCGTAGGAGTCCAACGAAATCTCGCACTTCGCAAATGACAGGATCAACCGCATCTTCCACGCTTGCTCGGCGATCGCGTTGGACGTCACGGGTAGGGACCGATTGCACACACTTTTGTGGCGTATGTTGCAAGCCGGACCTCCAACTCCGAAAGGGATCCCCACCTGTCTAGACTTTGGCCTGAAAGTTGTTTGTCGGCACAGCCCGCGCCATTGCAAACTCCACTGGAGCATCACCCACTCCGACGGGTCGAACTTGCTTCCACCAGCGCACTTGTTGGTTGCTTCTGAATGAAGAATGGCCGTAAACAAGCACCGAAAACCTAAACTGCCCGGATCAACCGTGTCAATACAAAATAAACGTAGTTAGCGCTCCAGCATGATCTCGAGACTCGATCAAACGATGTGCGACCGTGAATTGCGCGAAAAACTGCGAAGAGAAGCCGCGGGTAGAGTTACGGCTGTTCTAGCGGCCTCCGAAGTGGCTCTTACAAGAAGTGCCGCCACCCCCCGGGAGTCGGGCGCACCGTGCGCTGTTCATTGCCGTATATTCGGGTTAATTTGCGAATCGCTATCAATAATACTGGTTCGCGCAAATAAAAAATATAATTAATTTGTAAAATGAGTGCAAAGAATAGTGCAATGCTAGAGGTACAGCCCGCTGAACTCGTAACAAGCCGAGGTGTTCATGATATCGCGATTTTTTCGTTTTTGCCGACGGTGGAATGCTTTGGTTCGATTATAAGTCGACCCCCCCCACTTCAGGTTTTAAGGGTCGACCTACATTCGTGTAAATATGGTACGCACTTGCAGCCATATTATGAAAGTATCTTGGATTGGCATGACTTGGCCTGACCGCTTTGCAGCAAAAGAAAACTGGCTTGGTGGCTTTCTAAATTGACGCAATTCGAGACTCGCGGATCCGAAAATTGCAGGTGCGTTGATTATAGGAGGGAAAAAAAAAGTCAAAATATTGATGGCCGTTGTGGGGTGTGTGTTTATTATGCGAGTGCGCTTATTATGCAAGTAAATATGGTAAATGTTTCCAGCACCAACGTGCTTGTGATGCGGGATTCTGGCGAGCGAAGAGCAGACGATTGTCCCCAGCAAGCGCGCAGGTTGCCAGGGGCAACGGTGGAAGAGTGGCAAGCTGCGCTTTGCTCCTGTGGTGCGGAAAGCCAACTAGGAGCCGCCATTTCCCTCGGAGAGGCCTTGAAGCTTTTGCTCTTTGTGCGTTTGTTTCTCCTCGGAGCAGGCGGCCGACGCGGGAAGGCGATGCAGCGCGCTTCCATCAACACCAAGATGGCGGCGCTCCATGGTGCCGTTCCGGAGATTTGGCATTTCACTACATGCCATTTTTTTGTGAACTCGCCCAAATATTTTGTTACCCCGGGTTGTATAACTGTTTTGTTATGGCACTTCGCAACGGATTTCAGTGGAGAAACTTCGAAAACGCACAAAATGTGACGCATAGAAGTAAAAAAATTTGTGGTGGCTTAGCTCGGTTATGCCGGGATATACGTAGCGTGAGCTTATGCACACAAAATGAAAGGCGCTATCAAGCGGCTCCGGTGCAGCGTCAGACGTGGCTACTGCGCAACGGAGGCGGACAGCTGGGCACGCGGCAGCGCCAGTGCGTCTGCCGCGGCTATGATATCACTCCTCTAGAATGTGCAGGCCGGCGAGGCGCGCGCGGCGGAGGCGTCTCTGGCACGCCAACTGTGTGCTGTGTGACGTCACTGCTCCTCGCGCTTGCGCAGCACGGAGCACGGCTAATTATGCGAGCCACGCGCAACTGCTCAACCTCGGCCAGTGTAGCTCACGCTGCAAAATTAATCTGTTGGTAATTTTTCGTGAGTTGAAATCCGCGTCCCCCTCTTACCCAGCTTTTTTTTCACGAGTAAGAATGAGCAGCGCGTCTTTTAAATTTTTCTGAGTGAAAAATCGGATAAGGTATGTCGACAACTGGGCATAAAATGGATGTGAATTTCTGAAGCCTATGGCACCAAAGAAAAAACACTGCGTCTGGTTTTGTTCGGCCTCCGTGGCGAAAGTTGGGTGGTCCTTCCTGATGGCCCAGTGTTAATTGTGCGCATGGGGGGGCATTCAACCAAGTTAGATGCCCACAAGTGGACATGAAGTTGTTTCATATTTTTTCTGAACGGGAGAGCGTGTGTGAGCACAACATCGTCTTCAAAGACAAGGAGTAAAATCAAAGATATGCTGTTTTTATTTTTACGCGTAAAAGAATCCTAGAATTTCAAAGTGTAATCATAAATTTCTGAGATGTTTTGTTTCAAACCGTCTGCATTGCTAAGAGTTTCGGTCACCTGAACCTTTCTGAATCTCGGTTCAGAAAAGGTTTCCCCTTCACTAACGACAAGTCACCTACTGTTAGTATACTATCGATAGTTTTACGATAGTTGATTGATGTTTTGGCCATAGTCAATTAATCGTTTGGCAATAGTCGATTGATAGTATGACAATAGTCGACTGATAGTTTCGCGATAGTGGACGATGGCTAGTTTGGCTTGCACTATGGATAGAATGGGGGCCTGGGAGAGGGGACTTTCCGGGGCTGTGCCAGAGGAAAGCTTTCTTTGGCAGACCGCACGGTGAAGATCTGGAACCTGCACACGGGCCAGGAGATCCAGAGCTTGCGGGGCCACCCAGACAACGTGGTGGCGGTGCGCTACTGCGAGTACACCCGCCTCACCTTCTCGGTCTCCACCGCCTACATCAAGGTGTGGGACGTGAGGGAGAACCCGGCCAAGTGCGTCCACACCCTCTTGTGAGTGTCTTGTGACATTGGGAGAGATGACAACTGGGATACTCCTAGAATGCAGTAGATGCTTTCGGCCTTTGAACTTAGCCATTGCCAGAAGGCAAGAAATGCGTTGTAGTTACCAGCAAACCAGAGCCTAGTTGAAGAGACGTCTTTGCCCGGCAGCTCATCGGGCAACTGCGAGAATGGACCCGTGGTAGCAGACTCGGCCTCGCGCAGCCTCCAGATTCCACAGAACGAGACACGCATCAACGCCATTGAGTTGAACCAGTACGGCACCCTGCTCTTCTCGGCGGCGTCCAACATCGTCCGCATCTGGGACCTCAGGAGGTGAGTAATGCTTCCCCACGCTGCTCGTGCTGCTAAAATAATATTGCAGAAAACAATAATTGTATTTTTGAGAAAGGTTCTCTTCCCAAGTTCTTTGACAGAAAACAAGCTGTAAGTATTTAAATGTACAAAATTTAAGACTACCATATTTTAGAGCGAAGCTGTTTATGGCTAGGGTTCCGTGGACCTTTTATGTGCAGTGACTAAAATCTCTGCGCTCGTACCACCGCACGTGCCGCACGCGCACGTCATATAAAAGACTCGTAGTAAATAATCAAAATAAAGCTTTGACCAACGTGCATGCAAGATGCCATTTTGCTTTAGAACAGTTACTGCTGCAGACGTCGGCACGTGTGGCACTTGGAACACCATTCCCTGCATCCTCCTTGATGCTTGGGTCATTTACCGATAGCAGTGATGTGATTGCTGCGCCAATTGCTCCAAACTGCGCCAAGGGGCTAACCCTGCTACATCCTCCTACGTTTCGCCAAAATATGGGTCATCTGTGCCAAGCCTGCGCCAAAGGACCAATTTAGGTCGCCTTTCAAAACCAAAACTAAACTGAGTACTGTAATTGAGCAGGCGTGTGTTATGTAGCACAAGCGGCCACCTGACACAAAGTACCATGCATCAATTGACCACCCGGTCTTGCATGGTCTTCCCGGCGTCTTGCGTTTCGTGTTCTCTCTTGTGGGTCTCGTCTCTCGTCTCATTTTTTTATTTTCAGCGATAGACGCGGATGTGTGCAGACGCTCCGACGCTAGCGTGCCGTGTACCAGCCATGCTGTCATGCTGTGAAACGAAACCACGTTTTTGCACGGCAGGAGTTACTTTGTTAGAAGACGCGACGGCCGTGGGAAAACTATATTTGGTCACTGCCTTTCAGTCACCGTGGTCGCGCGACGTCGAATGTTGCCGTCCCCACATCACTGCAGATATGGTACTTTCTAAAATGCAACTGAGTACCACAGCATGTTCATCAACATTCCTGTTCTTGTTTAAATCATACGTTACTACAAAATCCATCTTTAATTCAAAGACTGCTCTGCCAAAGTATTGATTATCTAGATTCCTTTCGGTGGGCCTTCTTTCGAGAGGGACCTCGGTACGTGACAAATCTGCCGTGAAAGAAAGTTGGTGAAGGGAACTGAGCTAAAGCAAAGGAGGCAATGTCTGCACGCTGAATCCGCACAGCGCGCTTGTTGGCCTCGAGTTCAGTCGTTGCACAAAGCGCTCCAAGAACGTTTTGAGGCTGGCTCGCGATTTGTCGCATCGATGCACTCAGGTTCTTTATTTTTTGTGTGTTTAGCTTGTACCTTGTTTGCCGGCCTGGCAAGCACGCGCCACTGGACTGTTTTTGTCGCATGCTTGAAAGTTACATTTTGTGTACAATTTTAGGGATGAGTTAGTGACGGAGCTGAGGGGCATGGTTTCAGTTTCGATCAGACAGCCGTTGTCTGTGCTCGTGCGACGAAGCATGCCCAACAGCAAGCTTGCCGAAGTTGGCCTCACATGCATGCGAACATGATTGCGTGACTGAGGCACCAGCCGGGACGCTTGCGATTCATTGTTTTACGTTTGCTTTCTTTTGACGAAAATCTGGCACGTCTGGAATCAGTAAAACGGTGGCAAGTGGTTTTTCGAAATTGTTCGTCAATGCCTACAGCACTGTACACTTGTGGGATGTCTGATCAGTAAAAAATAGAAGCAGCGAGTTCCGTCACAACACGTCACATCAGAACACAACACAACACAAAGTGCCCTTCGTTTGTCCAGCACTTAAAACAACTATTTTTATTTTCCTAAGAATATCTGCTCCAAAATCCACTTTTGCTGCTCCGAAACACTGTCCTGGCTTCTCCAAAAGCCGCTTTTGCTGCTCCAAAACACTGTTTTGGCTGCTCCAAAGGGCACATTTGCTGCTCCAAAATGCTGTTTTGGTTGCTCCAAAATGTGTGCCAAAATGGCTTAGGCCAATCACATCACTGGGATAAATCTATTCAGTGGATTACTTATCGATATGCGCCATTTTCAAGATGAGTAGACTTTCGGGTAGATACGAAAGGTTTCTCAAAGATTTGCCGCTGTGCGACCCACGTCGGCCATGTCTACGCTAGAACCGCCCTCTCTTGGTCGTCGTTCGAAGCCCTTGGCTGCGTGCCTAGTTGCCTTTCCTTCTGCTCTCCCGGGGTGGCAGTCCCGTCGCGCGTGTCTCCTCGGGGTGGCTCTGTCGTCTGCTAAACAGCTTCGCTGGTGATCCACCTTCCCAGACTGACAATGGCTCATGTTTTTGTTCTTCCCACTTTCCTTTGATTTATTTCAGCCTCCTGGTTAGGTAATGAACAATTAACGAAGCAGTAGCAAGAAATACAAAAATACATCCATGTACCTGATTTAAATCTGTTAGTAGAGCATTTTGAAACTCTGCTGCATCAGTGACGCTAATGATGGAGGACGTGGCAACTGGTCCCATTCAGCAATGGCATGACGGTATGGTTCATTAAATGCCCTAGTTCAGGGGTGGAAGTGCTGCGCCAATTGCGCCATTGTGCGCCAATCCACTTTTGCTGTGCCATCCTGCTCCCAAGTGCACACATTGCGCCAAAACTAGCCAATCAAGTTTTTTTTTTTTTTTTAAAAGGTTATATTTGTTAAGGTATTCCTTTTTATTGGCCACAGTGGGGTTTACCGTGTTGTGTTTGTTTAGGTAATTCTGAAAAAAATAGGGACTTTTAGCAAACCGTTGCCGCGTACCGCACACTACCGGAGACTGAAGCATGCTTTTAAAGGGACTATGAAGACGATTTTAATCAATTTTTTTAAATGGTGTTTTTATGCTTCTTGGGAACATAGCATGCTGCCCAATTTTTTGTAGACATTTGTGACGTGTATTTCTGTGCATACGGAAGAAGTAAAGAAACCGAAATTAAACAATCTCCATTCTCGTTTCTGGGCCTCAGAAAACGGAGGTGACATAGGGAGTGACGTCAAGTGTGAATAGTCGGTATTGGTAGTATTTAGGTGATCGAGACTCTGGTTACCGGGGTGGGTTATAGCAGCGCGGTGGCGCGGTCGTTTCGTCGAATCTGTCAACAAGGGCGGCAATGCCGCTCTCGCGAGCGAGTTGCGAGCTTCCGTTCAGGGACCCAACGCAAACAGAACGGGAGTATGTGTGCGGTGGCCTCCGCCATCACCCGAGGGAGACCGCCCAGCCGGTAACGAGCGGCCCGCATGCCCCCATAGTTGCTCGTTGGCCGTTTCGCGTCCTGCGTAGCAAAAAAAAAAAAAAAAAAAAAAAAACAATTATGCTGCTTTATTTACGGTTTAGTAATCATTTCCGGTCCGATTTACTCTTTTTATGATTATTCAAGCGGAAATTAGAACAGTATTTCTAAAAATTGCGAACCAAAACGTGACCGAGGGCACTTCTCTCGTTTCGACCAATCGCTGACGCGTCTCTTGTAATGTCGCGCTTCTTGGTCCCGCATCAGTCACGTGAGCTCCGCTTCTCCTGGCTTCTCCTGCAACTCTCGGGGTGTCGCCCCAGTTGATCCTGGTAGGATTACTACCGCGACTGTGTAACTGATTTGCGCGGCACACAAGCACCGGTTTTGGCTGAAATTTGGGCAACGTGGCCCGAGACGTTCCTGGGACCCAGTTCAGTCGCCAAAAAGATGTCTGAAATTGCCTTTATTGTCCCTTTAAGTCGGGGGATCGTGGAGGCGAGTTCATAGAGTCTAATCCCCAACCCATCCACTGCCGAGGGAACGTGTTATTGAGTAATGGGGAGCCGCCCCATCCTGCATGAATATACAGTATTATTTTGTCATGTGGTACCTTTCAAGCTCGGGGAGCATTTCCGTTTTCAGCATGTCCAGGTAGGAGGCATCTGCATTAACGGTGCCATCGAAGAAAAAGGGACCCACTATGCCTTCACTCCAAATCCCACCCCACACTGTCACCTTCGGTGAATGGAGATGCCGTTCGTCCACGGCATGAGGGTTATCGCGAGCCCATATCCTGCTGTTCTGGCGGTTCACACGTCCATCAAGGTGAAAGTTTGCTTTGTCACTAAATAAAAGAAATTGCAGATGCCCCGGGTTGCTCTTATTTCGCAACAACTCCGCCTTGCAAAATTCTAAACGTCGGACGTAGTCGCTTTCGTGCAGGGCTTGGACAACTTGCATCCTGTACGGGCGCTAATTATTTTTCCGCAAAATCCGTCGTACGCTTTTTTCCGAAATTCCAAACAACCTGGCTGCTCGTCTTGTCGACAATTGGGGGTCACTCTCGAAGACAACAAGCACCGCTTCAATGAGGTACTCATTTTTTAGCAGGCTCTCAAGTCCACTGACTGGATTCTTCTTTGAAAGTCTTCCCCACTCGCAAAACAATCCGCGCAAGTCAAAATCGTTGGGTGTGAAGGCGGGCGTTTATGAAATGCAGTGCGCAATTTTTGTTGTGCTGTGGCCACCGAGTTCTGCTCCACGTACTACTTCACTGCCTGGGCATTTGCCAAGTATTGCGGCATTGCAGGGCAGTAAATATTTTGATAATAACAGCAGCAGATAGTGCAACAAAAACAATAAATAGGAGCAATCAAGGTGCTCCAGCAGCTCTTGATTCCAAAGTTGAGCTTTCACCGGAAACGGACCCGTCAGCAGATGAGCAGACGACAAAGGAAGACACGCGTTTATTTGTATTAAACGAGGCCGTTTGCCAGTTTCTAATTTTCATGTAAAAGGGCATACTTGTTCATATATTTCGTTAAAATCACTTTTCATCATGATTATCCTGCCCGATGCCAGCCTTTCGTGTGGCGTTTCCCGCGCTTTTGTGATTAGTGCGCCACCTGGGAGCGGCGTCGCGAACCAGATTGCAGACGGTGAACGGGCTGGTATAGGCCATAAGAAATGCACGTCTGCCACTTTTGTTATCTTTCTAATAATTCGCTACTGCCGAGTCGACGTCTGAAAATAAATAGACAAAAAGCTTTGGAA